GACTGAGAATGTTCAACCAGTTTGAGAATGTTAAACGAGATTACTTTGATACGAGTTTGAAATTTTATTGGGAATTAATACCCAATTACAAAAATAAAGAAAAATCAATAGTTTGGTTCAATTAATATTGACCGTGTTATCGGTTACGTTGCTTGAACTTAAACTGAAAGACGAAAAGAACAATGATCGGTTCAAAAATCTTGACCGACAATGTTTGGTGTTACTTGATTAAAAAAATTCAATTAACTTGCTTTTCAGAACTGGCGAACTGAACTGAACGAGAATGGTTATGACTGCTGATCAATGGTGTTCGCATCGCAGATCGATCACCATTCACCCCCGCGGAAATAAATAATCAAAATATCCAAAAAAATTTTGACTGAAAACCAGCTCCAATAAAAATCAATTAAATCATGCCGTGTGAAGGCTGAGGACGATATTGATTTACAGTGATTATGAATTCAAGAGATAATTATTAGATTCAATCTCAATGATGATTTATAATAGCGGAAATTCTAAAGGAAAATTTATCAAAAGTCTATTAAACTCGAATATGTATGGTTCACTGACGTACAATTTTGTGACCAACAAAATGAGAAAAACGACTACAAGATTTTAATTTTTCCTTAAATCTAATTTTATGATGTATTAAATTGATTCGATGATGAAATTGCTATTTTCCCTCAGCTGAGCACGCGGTTATTTTATGCCGGGCTTAAGTGTGGTTATGTTCAACGAAAACTTATTCTTTTTCACCCGTTTAGTTGGGCGCCAATGATTTGCTTGACCTTGATTTGTCGGTCCAAACAGGAATCTTTATTTACTGTTGATGGATAGCTCGTTTCCAATGGATGGTGGCAAGAAAGTGGCTGACTTACGTGTAATGATTTTGTATTACCGGCTTATGGTGCCTCAATTGCTGTTAAATGAATAGTCCGGATTTGATGCTCACAACTTCTTTATTCTACGCAACAACATGGCTGGGGATTTGCCGGAAGGAATGTGACGGCACCTTTTGCCTCTATTAATTTCCACTGAGGGGTGGGTATCGACTCCCCGAATGTCGCCAGCTTTTAATACCAGTTTTAAATCCACTTTAATTACTTGGTTGTAATTCCGTTCTTGCGAGGGCTGATGAGTGTGGTTCGCTCCGTGTCCAATTCCAAAAAAAACCACCGATTCTTTTATCGTATCTCAGTGTGGGCGTTTTCATAGTGGCCATGTCAATTCGTGTCTATACCGATATGATGGTTCGTGTCTTGAATAACTATTGGTTACGTACATTCATCTGGCAATCCCCCCCATTTTGAAGTTTAGCTTTGACAGTTTTGTTATGTTTACATTTCTTATAATCGTTCTTATGTCTATTATTTGGGCAATAAAAAATAATAGATCAACCCACAAATGTTTGTTGATATATTTGAAATGTAAATTTGAACAGCAATATTCGTTAGAAAAATAATAATAAAGCAAAAATATTGTTAATTACTACATGGGAGGTGGGCGTGGTTATTGACAGATTTAGCCAAAATTTAATACTAACCTAAATTATACCAAAGGCAACTTCGGGCCCGACTTTCGTTAAGATATCTTAATTTTGTTCGAGTTAGCGTGTTTACAAACAGACACGGCGAAACCAATTCATCTCGCCATTCTGATTATTTTAATATATGTATATGTATGTATGCATATGTGTATCTACATATGTACATACATTTTATACGGTTGACAATCGGGTTCGCTTATCTGCATAAGCCGTCTCTATTTGCATTAAATCGTGCATTATCCTCTTTCAAATGTGAATAAGCGGCAGAACAAATAAATACAAATTTCGTGCATTTGTTCGGGCGTCGAGCTATAGTTTTGTGTACTTATTTCATATAAGCTATGGAGGTCTCCATTAAGAGAGTGGTACATATATATGAAAATTGGAGAGTTCCTGCTTTAAGCTAAGTAATACTTGTTCTACCCTCCTAATGTCAGCCCACCATTATTCACTCAACGTGGTGTTCGGAACACGGTATGACTTATGTAGGAACTGCATCCGGTCATAGTCGCTTACGCTTCATGCCTGATTTGCTTGGAATTTTGTTTTTCTCGTTATTTTATTTTATCAACCAATACATTCAAACTAATTGTCAAATAAGCATATTTACATTTTTTGTTTTGTCTATCTGGATTACTGTATACTGTGGATAGTACCACAGTCGAAGATATCACATATAAATTTTGGTCCCGATTGGAATCGTTTAAAGCGTGTCGCAAAGGAAGAGCATTTTCGTAGTGTGCGTGCATTTGATGTCACTGTGTGCGTTCGAACAAGTGAACAATTAAACTTTCGCTGTCTTCCCAAGCAGAGCGTGTATGTATACGCGAACACGCCGCGCAGTCTCCCGCCGGGTAGACGCTGCCCAGCTGTGCTCTAAGGACTCAAAAAAGGCAATTTTTTTTTAAATTTAATGTCCAAAATCGATGCTACTATAGTCGAGGGTATCACATATAAATTTTAGTTCCGATTGGAGTCGGTTAAGACGTCTTCATGGGGTAATCTGAACTTTGACCCCTGTGTGACGCGCCATAACCGACTTCAATCCGGACCAAAATTTATATGTGATATCTTCGACTATGGTAGTATCGTTTTTGGGTATTAGATGGGAAAAAAATCAATTTACATTTTTTGTTTCTCCATAGAGGAATCTGAACTTTGCCCAATGTGCGACACGCTTCAACCGTCTCCAATCAAGACCAAAATTTATATGTGATATCTTCGACTATAAAAGCATCGCAGGGGTTGAGGCTTAAGAAATCTGATGTAAAAATTTGCTTCCTACATTTAAGAACCACCCTAATGTGCATACGTACATATGTGCATATATCTAGTAAGCCATTGAAAATAAATAATTCTTTCTCTAATGTTATTGTATATTTTTTTGTTCAATCAAGCAAATACATACATATATATTTACACATCGATTATAAATATACATCAGGTTTTTGTAGAGTGAAATAGTTAACCGATATATTGGGCCGTATGAATAAAAAATAAGCAATTGCTTTTTCTTAAAATTTCTTACACTTTACTCGATTTATTCAAACAAAATTGAAGTAAAAGGTATGAAATTTTAATTTGCTTCGTTCTTATTCATTCGGCCCAATTATATAAGTACAGTGACCATTTCTCCAAAATATTTTCTTAAAATTTTTAACACATATGTACATATATAATATTTGCATGCATGGATATCGTTACCTTAATAAGTTTTGTTTATTTGTAGATTACTATAAAAAACCTAATGCAAACTTAAGTTATTATATTGCAATTTTCCTCAAGATATAACCAATCTATAGTAATAGTAGTGGGTTTGTGAGGGTACCCAATAAACATTGTGGCGAACGTTCGAAACTGACCTTCGATATCCAATATGCATATCGAACTGAGAACGAACTCATAACCAACCTTAGTTTTCCAACGTTCATAGTATGTATATTCGAAATACACTCGAGATGGGTTCGAAAAAAAAATGGAAACCATAGTAACAAGAGAGAAAGTGAAATGCAGCTCATTCTTGAAGGGAAATATAAGCAGTGTTGCCAGAACTTTTTGGGCCGACCGGCTAGATTGGCAAAAAAAAGCGGCTAAAAACGGCTAAAATGTTTTAGTGAAATTTCACATAGACTCTGGCAAAAAACGGCTAAAATGTTTTAGTGAAAATCCACATTTTTCTTCACGTTTTAAACCGTATCTTATATATAAAATAGCGTTTAACGTTTTAACGCACATTGGATTTCTTTGCTTAGTTTTTATTATATTCATTGAACTAAATATTCGCTCTACTTCTGCATTACTTATAGGCAAAACAAGCAAACTAAAAACTAGGTTGCAAAGGTGAGCAAAAGGGTTTTCTCCTAGGGCATTTCGAAATTGATAAACTTCGGCCCAAAATTGTACAGTTGAGTCTAAATTACTCCAGGTATGTAACGTTAACCGTTGCCATTGCATCTCTATGGATGTTATTTCGTCGGCATTATATTTGTGTTTTTGTTGCTGTAGTTGAACAAATACTTTTGGTTTAATTACTCTTAATGCATTTCCAACCGAAAAAAGTCAATTTTTTTTAGTGTGGCAATATTTGTAGGGAGGCGTTGGCGTAATTCCTTTATTAAAGTGATAATAAAATAGCGACCATTTTCTCGAATTATTTTCTCGGCTTCGTGGTCAAAAGCGTTTGTGCTTACTTTTGTTTTTAAATACTCTTCAAAACTGTGATAAAACTGAGGAAATGGAGCAAGGTATGGTTCCAACGGGTAGCATATAGGATCAAATGTGTTCGCGCTAATAACCACTAGGGAGCATAGATGCGAAAGTAAAACATTGAGTTCATTAAAAATCTTCATTGGGTCTGCATTATTGCTTTCGAACAACTTGTTTACTTTTTGCACCTCGAAATTAGGCTAAAAACGGCTAACTTTTTTTTACAAACCGGCTAACAAATCGGCTGCCGGCTAGATTGAATTTTCTCCGGCTAGTTACTATCAAAACCGGCTAAATCTAGCCGGAAAACGGCTAAAATGGCAACGCTGAATATAAGACAATCACTCTCTCTCTCTTATTAAAATTTCATTTCGATAATGAGCTGGATCTCGAATTCACAACGAACGGAAAATACATTGGATAACGAAGGATACGCTTTGCTGGAGAATGGCCTAGTTCTCGAATCGAATACTTACCTATGCCACATTCATTATCGAAGGTGAGACTCGAAAAAAAAGATTCGTTTTCCTATCATTTTCGAATTGTTAACAAAGCCCAATGTTTGTTGGGTAAGGTAACGATATGTATGTATATTGCTATAGTAATTTTACTAACATTTCTAGCCTTCTTTTTCGAATAACGTTTTTGCAAGGATTATTGTTTATTTAATAACAAGCAGAGATCAGCTGTTTTCGATGAATTTTTTAGGAACATTTCTCACATTGAAATTAGCAAACATTTAAAATAATTTGATTTAGGAGTTACAAAGCTGGTTTAGAAAGCATTTCTGCGACCAGAGCTGTTCTTTATTCAAAATAAGTGTGGAGTAAAGGACCGTTCTTCAAATTAAAAAGAGTAGGTATGGTCACCGTAAATATAATATGCTTCCCGATAATTCAATGTTTAAAATGAGGCATAAAGTTCTTCTTGAATGCTATTTGAGCGTAATAATTGAGTTGCTGTAGGTCCACCATTTAAAGACTGTGTAACTGTTTGAGATGATTGGGCGTGACTTTCTTTCATATCCTTATACAATTCAGCAAACTCCTGTAAATATTTTTCAAATATATTATTGTTATAAAAATTTAAATTACGTAATAATATTGTGTCCATACCTTAAGCCTGCTCCCAAGGAACAGCGCCCTTTCTCTCTTTTTAATCATGTAGTCAGAAGACATTAGCCATCTGTGTTCCAAACAGTCCTCGGAATATGGGCGTTTTCTTAAATGTATAATAGTCATAGATTAGAAGTGTACTGAATTCAATAATAAGTTAAATGGTGGAAGTTTTTGATTTATCGATATTAAATACATAGTATCCCAGCCAGCAAGAAAACGTACATTTTACGAAGGATTCTCGATCGGCGAAAAGTTAGAGAAAGGCTCGTAAACGATAAAACAAAAATAAAATAAAAGAAAGCGGTTTGTAGCAATTTGTCAGAAAAAATTTTAATTCTGTTGGAAATTTTTCTTGGACCACAGTATTTTATAATATATAATATTCACATACGAATGCTTTTTCGAAGCACTAACTCTATGAAGACATGAATGAAAGCGATATATATTTAACAATTTTGACTTATATACTTGTCAATAATTTTTTTGTAAACAACAAATAAACAAATTTTATTTTGTGCTAGCTTCGTGCTTCGTGCTTGTGATTTAAAAAGGACCTACTGCCAATAAAGCCTTGTAGATCAGCGTTGCCACAGACAAATTTTTTTCCTACCAAAGTTTCCTAGTATAACCAATCAAAACCTACCAAATTTTTTTGAGTTTTAATATTTTATCTTGACGTCAAATTTATTAAAACATAGCTAACATAACATTTAGTAAAACTAAAACACAGCTAGTAAAATAAAGACATATTAACTGCGTATAACGATTCATGTTACTGTACTTATCATCGGACTTATCCAAATGTATGTCTCTTTACATATACATACATACATATCATCACAAGATACGAATAAAGACGCGAGCTCAAAAGTTGACAGCGAAAAAAGACGCGTAAAAAAAATTTCGGCGAAGAAATACTCTTAACATAGTGACGACAATAAATACGCAAAAACTTATGTTCGCGGCCAACTGTTTATGTTTGCGAGTGTAACAGTATATGAATCTTTTTTCACAAATTTTTTCACCTGTCCTTTTTCGTCGTTAAAGCACCCGAGCGTCTTTATTCGTCTCTAGTTATTACGTCGGAGATACCCACGCTGTGATATATCCTAATTGTAATCACTCCAACCTTAGGCTATTGAAAAAGCTCAGCTCTTTGGATAATGCCATGCTCCAAATTTTAGATGGAGAAGACAATCGTTTTCCAAGGTGTATCAATCTACGATTCATGCTTTGTGAACAGGAACAGGAACTGGGATTTCCTCCACAAGCCCACAAAACCTACAGTCCATCTCTACAGAAAGACCCATTTAATTCAAACGGTACGTTAAATTTCAGTGTGCTGTCAGGTGGCCAGTAAGAGTTCTAAGTTCAAGGTGTCCTTCGGAGTTCCTCCTGGAAATAGTTATATTTGGGCTCCACGCTTTTCGAGACAGTCAGCCCTTTCGTTGCCTTCAAACCCTTCCAGTCCCTGAACCTTCCAAAGTGTTACGCTTTTGTGGGCTCCCAGATGGTTCAAGTCTTCACAAGCCTTGATGCCGCTTTAAAAGACTCTAAGGCCTTTAACGCCGCCTGAATATCCGACGTAATATTTATTCTGGCCTCATTTGCCTTCTAAGACGTCATTCGCGAACACAGACTTGGATTGCGAAGACCTCCGCCTGGAATATGGTTGGTTACGAGTCCATTGGCAGAGTTTTCTGGAATCTTGGTCCAAGTACGCCATAAATTATATCACTACCTAAAGGTGTAAAGGTGCACAAGTCTATTTTTTTGCAAAGTTTAGTTATTCATGCAAAATGGCAGGTAATACGAAACGACATCGATTTTTCGTCTCTCCTGGAGAATTTCAAAAAATGGACTTGGGCACATGTTCACCCTTAGGTGACGATATATGGACGTTCTTATTGTATATTGGCAATAATAAGGCTATAAGTTTGTACTTAGGAATCAGGTATATTTACATGTTTGCAGCCGCCGTTATACGAACACATACATATTTTCTATAAATAGTTTCTATTTTTCGCAAATAACTATTATTCATTGTCCCGAAACCTTCCAAAATCCAATCTAGCCTACCAACCTACCAAAGGGAAAAAAACCTACCAGTTTTGGTAGGAAAAGCCCAAGTGTGGCAACACTGTTGTAGATTGCTATCTTTCCATATTTGTAATGCTTCCATTTAAAGATCTTTGTGGAAAAACGGTTATTTGTTCAGAATTGCTTGTTTACGAAACGTTTGGCGTAAGTTGAAATCATTTTATACTTGAAAAGCACCAAAATATGTATGCAATACTTCTACATATCGTCGTTTAAAGTACAAAACCGCGCATCAAGAAAATGCAAAACCTCGTATGTGAGGTTGACTAAATTTTATAGGAGAGAGTAAAACTTGTCCTAATTAAAAACGGTTCTCTCTCTTAAACTTAATTATCTCTTCTCCTTATGTCTAAGTATCGATATTTTATTATAAATGTCTAAGGGCTTGATGTCAGGAGCTTCCGGTGACCAAATATCTTTTTTTGCACAAATTTCAGTTTCGAGGTTTTGCAGAACTACGATGCGCGCTTTTGTACTTTAAAGGACGATATACATATTGGTGGTTACACAATATGTTAGCGTTTGGCCTAGCTTCTCCTCCGATATGTGGCGTGCGTGATTTTATCACACAAAGTAAAGGACAGTTTTTCGCCGACTCCGAACGGCAATTGTATTTTTTGAGAAGCTGTTTCCATGACAGAATACATTCGGAGGTTTGCCATTACCAACAGAGGGGCAACCGCTATTAGAAAAAAAATTTTTTTGTTTTTTATATTTTGATGTTGGTGGGGAGACTGGGCTTGAACTCAGGCTCTGCGTAATGCTCTACAGCAGTCGCCACTACTTTTACATATATTTCTGGTATATTCAAAATACTATCCCGAACATCGGAGTGTATATATGTAATATAAAAAAGAATGAAATAAAATGTACCCAAAATTCATTAACAAATGAAAAAATGTCATTGAAAATAGTTCGCATGTATAAATTAAAAGATATTACTTTAGCGGTTACAGCGCAAAACAAAAGGAAAAGTTAGAAAATAAATAATATAAAAAAAAACTTTTTAATATACAACGCTTTTATAAATGGACTAAAAAGTAGAAAATAATATTTCTCAGTCCCATAGAATTTGTTTTGATAACTTTTGATTTTGAAATTTTAGCAAAAGTCATTATAAACAGTCTATGAAATTGAAAATGAAAAACGTGAGCGCATGCAATACAAAGCATTCGATTTAATTGACAATAGTCAAACTACATAACGTAGACCTAAAATTTCTACAGCGAAAGTAGAACTTTGAAATCGATTTTAAGCGGTCGTTATTCATATACATACATACATACATATATTACTTTTCATATCAATTCAAGTGTATTACATGCGCCCCACGCTTTTCATTTTTAATTTTATAGATTGTTTATAATGACTTTTGCTAAAATAAACCTGTCATCTACCTCGCCCTATTCACTACAGATGTCGCCCTATGCACTATGCTTTTTTATAGGAGCTTTTCAAAGCAAAGGTTTTATGGTGTCAGACACACAACATTGAAAGTTTCTGGATCCACAACATTGAAAGTTTCTGGACACACAACATTGCAAGTTGATAAAAGCGTTGTAAAATAGCAATGCGGTTTGAAGGAAACATGAGACCATAAAACGTTTGTTTGTTTCGTTAATTCTCTGAACGTTTTCAGATATGACACTCCATTCTTTGCCGTAGTTTGCAAATATACACTAATTGTTGAATTGTTGAAAATACATTACGATCATATTGTAACGAAATAAGTGCGGTATCCCTGCCGAAAGAAGCATATTCTGTATGAAAAAATGAAAGGGAGAAGTATACATGCCTTCTATAATTTTGACTTATATGTATATTTAGCAAGTCTTTGTGTAAACAACAAAAAATACACATTTTCTTCTTTCTTTTCCAGCTTGGAGAATATAGGCTTGTTTTTACTTAAATGTGATATAAAGTTCATTAAAATGTTCTGGTTCCTAAGTTTGTTATCATAGTTCTTTGTATTTTTATTGTCCACTATACGTGAGTTGCTTCTATTTAAAAAGTTCTAGTATAAAGAATTTCTTTGTTCTGAATTTGTTTGTTTATTGTTTTTAATTTTAAAATTCATACTTTTGACATGTATGTGAATGGTGGAGTTGCCGCTTTCCTCCTTTTCGGTGGGTTGTTATATCAAAAAGGCATCAAAATGGGAAAAAACCTCCTTGGTATCTCTGAATCTGTTAAACTTTTTATGGGAAGATGTATGAAAATCCAACTTGTTATAATTTCATATGCTTAACAGTATCACAACAGTTTGTTTACATTATCTCCCCATAATTTTTCATATGAAAAAATTTATTATATGCATCCCACTCGATATCATTGAATTCCTCATTGGAACATGTAGTCCCTCTATTTTAGCGTATCAACAGTTCATATGGCTTCATACCATGTAAATGCAGCATTACATTGATAATATTAACGTTATGTGTTTATCAAAAAAATTTCGTTTTGTTAATTATCAGAAAAATATGTCAACAACAATTTTGTTTCGTTGATTATCAAAAAAAATCAAAGAAGAAAAAATGTTTCTGCAGCAACCAAAAAATTTAATAAACAGGCAAATTTAATTATTTGATGGAGTTGCGGGAACAATGGGTCGTAGAAAGGTAGTAGTAGAGTCAATTTTAGTTATAAGATGTGCCCACCAGCTAAGCGTAACCAATGTCTTTAAAAAGGAAGAAACTAAAAGCTATTTTAGAGAATACCGCAATGTAGCGAGAAAGCTGCGGATGCCAGCAATGCACAGACTATTATCGTCACAAAATTTATTACCTCTTGGTTTGGGAATGAAGACTACCTCGAGTTTTCTCCAAAGGAGTGGGAACGTGGCCAAATTCTAGACAGGCCCTAAAGGCTCTTATTAGAGCCCCTATAATATAAGCCTGTCTCCTCCATAATTTAGCAATTTTTGATACACACCATTTGGGCGCGGGTATTTCTAAAGTCGTCAAAAGAGGCTAAAAAAAACCTCACTAACTCCTCAGTCACCACCT